AGAATGAAAATTTAGAAAGAAGTTTGTGCTAGGAATACTAGTTTTATATTTTTGTAATCGTAAATAGAAGTATTTTGCTGGAGGCAATAAATTTTATTGCAGATCTTGAAAACATGATGAGTAAATTAGATGATCCATTTACAATTCTATTTATAACATAATGCTTTACATGTGTGATATAATACGTTCAACCAGAGAATTGACATAACTTATATACGTCTTATAAGCAAAATGTGTCTATTCAGGTATTAGATTTACATTATGAGAAAGTGTTGATTGACATATGATGTAAATTACTCTCCTGCTACAAGGGTCGCGAAACTTGGTGCAGGCTTGAAATCTGAAACGATTAAACAATTTAAATTGGCGATTTTTTTGAAATGAAAGAAACGATAGTATACGACACAACCTTTTAAAGTTTCTGTTAGAAATATTCATTTGCCATTATGATTTTACTCTTGCCAATTTAACACTCCATAGAAAAAGTTTAATACAGCATTCAAATTTTGTCAGCAAGCATACAGATAGCTCAGGAAGAATAAATTTACTTTTTCTTACTGATTAACAAAAAACTTCTCTTGACAGATTGTTGCAAGAGACAGAAACTGCATTGACTATACAATATTTTATACCACAACTAATTTCTTAAAGAGAATATACATGGACTGGTTCTTGGGGCTTTAACCGTATTATTGCACCTCAATGAGAATCCAGCGTTCGTCAAATTAAAGTATAGCTCTTTAATTTGAAATTTGAAGTATTATCAGAAAAACACTATATTGGTTTCGAATTTCTAAAGATTACACTGTTTACCACTTGAATTGCATCTAATATGTTTGGAAATGTAAAAAAGTGTATTCGAAAATGTGCTGTTGTAAATTAGTTTTAACGTACCTTCGATCCGCAACTGCTACAGCTTGTTGATTTGTAAAAAATAGTACGTCATGATATTTTCTCCCTACACGTTCAAATCTTGTTAAAGTTAAAATTATTTTAGTTATCAACATATAATTGTAATTACAATTATATAATTTTTTCATTTTTTATTGGACAACTTGCTTTTCAAAACAATTTCATTTTCAAAAGAAATCAGCCTGACACAGCAGAACATATAAATATAACCCCAACAAATTATCGCAGGATTGACGCCTATACGATTGACGACAAGATGGGACTGAATTTTACTTTACCGTAACTGCGTAAAAGCACTATTGAAAAAGCGCATTTAAAAATACTAGTTTTTTTTAAGATAATCATGTTTCAACATCTCATGATGCTATCTTCAGTATATAAGAAAGAGTATTATGTGTGTGATAAATATATATATGAGCAATAAGATACAGTGATACAATTACGAGTAGGTTATAAGTATAAATATTACAATGAAATAGTGGTTAGAATTAATGATGAGTGTATTTACAGGCTGAATATAGTGTTAAAACGAAAAGCTTAAACGTTGAGGTTAGGGCTATTTTTGTTAATGTAAAGTGCTTCTTTGATTTTGAGTTTGAATGTAGTATCTGCAGTGTCGATGATTTAAAGTAAGAGGGTGAATAGCTATTCTGCATGAAGATGATTTTGAAAGGTGTCGATAGATATGTGAGTTTTAGTCAGTTGTGATGTGTTCTCTGATTCTTGCGAGCAAGTGACGGGAAGTTTCGCCAATGTATCGGCAATTACATCCCGCACAATCGAATTGATATACCATGCATCATAGATTTAATAGAATCAGGGATAGGATCTTTGAAATTTGAAGGAAAAGTAGATTTTGATTTTGAAGAAAGTGAGAATTAGTCGGAATGTTAATGTCAGGCATAAGCATTTGATGATATTTGTAAGTCTGCGTTGTGTGTGTGTCATGAATGATGTCCGATATACGGTAGTAATCGTTGAGATCATTGTATCTCACATATTGGTTGAGACATCTAACAACGAAAATGCTTGGGTTTTCTTTGTATTTATTGAGCACTATCTTTCGCGGGGGATGGTATTGTCTTGCATTGTTAACATGTATGGGGATGATGAGCTCACACGTCTCCTCCTTGATAAGAGTATAAGTCAAATCTAGCCCTGGAATCTCGTGTGGCCGAGCAGCTGAAGTTAAAGCCAGCAACACGGTAAGCTTTATGGTAAGATCTTTCAACGAAAGGTTGTTTAAAGGCGCTAGGTTTTCAAAATATGACAAAACGTATCATACCGCCCAGACTGAGCACAGCTTTGGCTGCGGAGGTCTTAATTCAAAAAATACCTTTCGTGAATCTTGTCATGATTGGTAGGTTTCCAAGTTGTTTTCCCTCGATTGGATTATGTAATTGAGAAATGAACCAACTTGACCATGGCCACTCGTATCTTTTTTGTGTAGATCCTCGCCATGATGTCCTGAGAAATTTGCACACCTCTCCTGGAATTCCCGCTGTTTTGAGACAATTCCTGAAATCAGCCATACCGTCAACTGGTGACTTTTTGAAAGTAGGTGCAACTGTTCTGGTGCAAATGGAAGTGAAATTGGTAATGGTAACCTTACTTAAATTTTACTGGCATTTCCAGTATCATTGGAAAACAGGGTTGGCTCTGCCAGTTTGGTCCAATCAGTAGTCCTGTTGCTTTGTCGCGTTCATTTTCGGTAAAATCCTTGAGATCAGAACAGTTAGTGAATGAATGAAACTTTTCACTTTTTCCAAACTACGGAGAAAGCGCCCGTTGCTATTGAACCAGGATTGGGGTAACGTGCTATGTAATTTGGTACCTGATTGTTCGGTCGGGAAGCAAATAAATCCACTTGCGGTGTGTAATATCAAAAATCCCAAATTCCTCAACAACGTTAGTACCCAGATGAATATGTCGACAATTTTCTGTTGACTCTAGTGCATTATCAGAATGTCGTCCAAGTAAAGTACTATCTTGATTCCTGAGGAGCGTAATACCGCTATCACCGCTTTTATCAATCTTGTAAAGGCGCAGCGGGCGGAGGCCAGCCGAAATGGAAGAGGCACTGAAACTCGTAAGTCTTGACTTGATACTCCAGTCTTAAGTATTCTTAATGTGCTACATGTATGGGAATCATGAAGTATGCATCTTGTAAATCCAACTTTATCATGTAATCTTTCGATGCAAGAAGACATCGAACCATGTCTAACCCGTCCAGTTTGAATTTCTCCACGAGAGCACAATGATTCTGAGAATTCAAGTTGAACAATATCGGTTTTTTATACCTTGTTTCACAATTAAGAGTGTCCACGTGTACTGATCCTTGACTTTGTCGACCTCCTTCAGATCTCCTTTCAGCTGTAGTTCCTCTATGGCTGTCTCTATCGCCTTTGTTTGTTCTTCTGAACTCCCTTTTGTTACCCTTTGTTGCCACTGACGTGGTACGCACTGGTTTCTTATAATAAAAAAACAACAAAAATGTTTATATGTGCTTCTTGTAAGGGTAACCCTTGAGGCTGCCGGACTAAAGGAAGCGATTGTTTTAATTGTTGAGCAATGAAAGCTTTGGCTTTCTATTTTGAATCAAGTAAAAAACAACTAAACAATGTACACATTCGATTATAAGATCCCAGAAATTTTCACTTTACCTTATTTCTCTAAAATTTAGACTCTCTCCTCTCTTGGGTTTTACTCAGCAAGTATAGAAAACAAAGGCAATTGTTCCATTTTTAATATATTCAAAATGGAGAAGCGGGGACAGAAGACTCGAACGAAAGTGTACTGACAATGCAAAAATCAATGACAATGAGAATTGCTGCAACAGAATACAATGGTATGACGCTCCCAGAGTCCATTTCATGAGGACCAACTGAGGAACAACATGAAAAATTTGAATGCAAGTACTAGCGGATTATTTTTCAGGAGGAAAGAACCTACTAAGTTCACAATCAACGCACCACGAATTCAAGATCTCCAAAAAAACATTATAGCTCTACTCGATTTCCTCCATATTCAGCTCAGCCCGATTGACGTATTTTGTACTCCCGATGACTTTTGAAATAAATCAGTGGGCAGAGTTGAATAAATGAGCATTCATTCCTCCTCCCCAGCAAGCGTTCCAGCTTTGCCTCTTCTTCATGGGGATGACATTGCTGTAATGGGGATGACTCTCTTAGAAAATATTCAGTGGAATGCACTTCAAATCAAATGAATTTAACAATAATGCAATGAATGATATGAAAAGTAATTCTAACAGAAAAAAAGCATAAAAACAGCCATGCGGAAGCACAATATATTTAACAATTATTGCATGAGGTTGATTATGATGAAAATTCTCACACAGTATAAAAGGTAGCAGTCAAGACTTTCATTGTTCAAGAGCTTAGAAATAATTCTCAATGTTTTGCCACCACCAAATCATTAAAAATTATTTGTAAGTGTTTAAGATGGCGTAATTTATTACGTGATATTTTTATTTACGAAAAGAATTATGACGGAATATTGCTCGATATTTGTAAGCGTTTTACAAACTGTTTTCGCTCAAATTATTGGGAATAAAGACTTAAAGAAATAAAAATGGATACACTGTCAGTCAGAAAGTGTTCATCGAGTATCTAGAGGAATAAGGCAAAAGCAAACCTAAAAACTTATTTATGTCAAAGCATGGAAAACTTTGTGGCTTCCGTACAAAATAGCTTGAAAGCTTCTGCATTTATAACTGTATGAAAAAACAATTATCGAATTCGGCTTTCGCATGTTATCAAGAATTATTTTATGGCAAATATGTCGTATTGATTGACTTTTGGACGTTTGATCAAAAAACCTAGACAGTTCTTTTATAAATCAAACTGCTCCGTTTTTAACTGATCTGAGGATTGGTTTGTGACACTTTTTGGTCAGAGAGTTGAGACGAGAGTTCTGTAAGAGCTGTTTGTTAGTGAGATCGTAGACATAAAACGAAGGAATAAAACATTGGAATAAGAAAATTAACAAATTATTCCTTAAACGTTCATAGCTGATGGCTGATAAAGAGCAGAAAATTTTTCTTAAAAAAGGACAATTTAGTTACAGCATTTTTGCTTGTTGGCTTTATATACATCTCAGGTGATCGACATTCTGACAATATTTAAATGCTTACAAACACGCACGTTGTCATGATTGAGTCTTTACAAAAATATCAGTAAATAAATGCAAAGTATAAACGTTTGAATTTAAATTTTCCGAGTATTTCTCGATAACATATGGATTTTCAATGACCAATTCGTGAGAGGATGTGAAAAGATTTGCAAGACTGAATTAGCTCCTTTATTGACAAGCTTTATTGACTGAATTAGCTCCTTTATTTTCGCTCAAATTATTGGGAATAAAGACTGAATTAGCTCCTTTATTCGCTTTTACTTTTAAAAGGAAAATAAATGATTTTAGGGTAAGTAAAATGTCAGTCAACGTAAACCAATAGCTGAGCCATATGCATCTATCCAGCGGTCACTTGATGTGTACGTTCCACATCCTCCAAAATGCACTTCCGTCAAGAAAATGAAGTTATTCGGCAGCTGACGATGTCCATACGAAGGAACACCAGAATTACGCCAGTCCACAGCAATACCTTGTGATTCATAAATCAAATTGTCTCCGTGATTTGAACTGATTTTCATTTCTTTATGATTTGGATAAAATACAAAGTATGAGTTTGGATTACTGCCGCAGATGCTATATGAAAGATTTTTTCCATTTGATCTAAAAGTAAACAACAAGCAGTCGTGCAATGAAAGTGAAATTTTAGCTTTCGCAACAAGATACCTTTGTGTAATTGATACTTAATGCCGATATCCAGTGGATAAATCTGATTAATATCACATGTGTGTAACACGTATTTGCATTTGATGGTGATCTAATGCAGACATCAAGTGGATAAATCTGATTAATATCACATGTGTGTAACACGTATTTGCATTTGATGGTGATCTAATGCAGATATCAAGTGGATAAATCTGATTAATATCACATGTGTGTAACACGTATTTGCATTTGATGGTGATCTAATGCAGATATCCAGTGGATAAATTTGATTAATGTCACATGTGTGTATAACGTATTTGCATTCAATGATGATTAAAGAAGTCGTCTCGCGATTAAAGAATGACGGAAACAATTTGTGCTAATTTTGAAAAACCCTCAATGACTTATCCTCCAATCAAAGACCATTAAGGCCATTGCACGGTTGAGACAAAAAGATTAGTAGCAGCTTGTGAAAGCTTTTTAAACGGTCTAAGTACAAATTTGTCAAACTTGCTTGAAATCAAGGACGACGACGATGTCGCCTTTGTTGGTGTTGGGCAAAACATTTACAAGTCCCCTTTTAAAGTTACAAGCCAAATTATGCAAGTTCCGAAAGAGATTTTGATATTATTCTATGGTTATATTATATAGTCTCATTCATGAATATGAATATTGTATGCAATTTATCTACTCGTGATTGTGGGTTCTAGAAACATAGCCTTTCTTACCTCAGACCTTGAATACTTTGCGCCCTTGCCACATTTTTTGGTAACACACCAAGAAAAAGATAATCGCGCATGTAATAATTTTGAGGCTGTGTATATCCATTATATTTATGCATTAAGACTGCGAGATTATATTGAGTAAATTGTGGAAGTTGTGTGATAAGTGTAAATGGTTGGAGACCATTTTTCTTCTGGATACGAAGCAAGACTTGTGTTTTGTTCTTGAACACTTGATCGATGAGCTGGGGTAGTTTGCCTTTAATAACAGCCTCGCGTGGGAGGAACGTAAATCCACCGCCTTCCTTTGCCATTTCACAGTATACCGTAACGACAGTCTCATCTACCACAATGCGGTAAAGACCACTCAACGATTCCGGTGAGCTTTGCTTGATTTCCATACATGATTTTGGGTTGGACGCAGCATATGTATCTGGATATGCAACAATCTATATAGGCAAAGCAAGAAAAAGGTAAATGGGGGAAACATTTGATTGCTCACCGAGGGTTAGTGAAATCATATCTTACGAACAACATGGTTAAAATCACACATTTTTTTCTTTGCAAAACCATTATTTCGTAAACTTAATGAAAATTTTACAAACCCAACTTAGATCTAAAGATGAAGTAAAATACTCACATTGCTTAAACCAGACATACTGAGAAGGATGTAAGCGATTACAATGAGGTCTTTCATTCTGAAGAAAAAATCTGAAATATTCCAGCTATAGTCAAATGCTTGTTAGATCTCTTACGTACTTCTTCCTCTCTCTTGTTCTTCTTTCAGAGCCTATTGAAATGACCTGCGTTACTGACGCCACAATATATATATATGCATCAAACGATAAGGCCAAATTACAGAAGGGCCAATGAATATGCATGTGTACAGTTACCATGGTCAATGAATTGCCCGGTTTGACCAATAAGAGCTCTGCTAAACTGATCAAGTAGCAATGAAATAAAACAACGACACAATTCAACCAGAGACATTTTATAAATTCAAAGTGAACGAATCTCATATCATTAAAGACAGTACTAAGAAGACAATATAATTTGCTTACAGCCACAAAAGAATGGGATTCCTCGTGCTTTAGACGTGATGTGTTCTCTCTCGATGTTAAAATTACAAAATTTTAAAGTTAGCTTTTTCAGACTAGCTTGGATTCATTCATGTGGGACTTACAATAATTTATCTACAAGGGAATTTTTTTTGTGTTGTGTTTATGCGATACAAGTAACAGCTTGCACAGAAGGACTTAGACTGTTAATTTTGTGGTGGCAACTGACACGACGAGTCGTATTTCATGTGTTTATAAAAGGATTAATTTGCATTATTGAATATCCAACGAAGATTGTTGCATTGATCGCTGGATATTACCTAAAAGTATAATAGTTTATGTTATCTGCTTTTTAGCTGATTTGACTCTTATCAAAGCGCAAGTTATGCCTCTACAGCAGTTTTCAGACCTTAAAACAACGTGTAAACTTAGACTTACAATATATAGCCCTTGAAGTGATGTCAGATGTGCCAATTATCACTTGATCTATCACATTAAAGAATCACGAAAACAAAAAACAAGAAGACATGTAACAACAGCATTCAAATAAAAGCAACAATTTTAACGCTACTTATAACATGTGAATATCAATAGTAGAACTAGTTGACATTGGAAGAATAAAGCCCACAAACAAGCAGAAAATTAGGACAATATGTTATTTTGTAAATTTCTGCTGCAATATTTTCCCAGATTTCTAGAAATTGTTGCATCGTTTGTCCTAGAATTTGGAATAATTTTAGTAGGACGAGGATAGCGCTGCGTCGATCAACAAAGAAAATTTAAGCAAAAAGTTTTTGCTTTTTGACAGACCTTCTTTCGTCACCCCCAACTTAAACATTGATCCACGTTCGAACCACTGGTCAGGTCCTATGGCTTGATTAAGCTACATATTTTCATGTGTGTACAAATGTGATAGAATTCATATTCTAAATCTAATTTAGGCAATCTACAACTTGTTGATTTTTAAAAATTGTACGTCATGATTTTTTTGTACAAGTTAAAATCTTGTTGAAAGGTGCATGTTTTCAGAATTTAAATTCTAAATGTAATTAAAGCATGCTACTTATATTACAAAAAGTGTCGAAAATTGACTAACAGTTGTGTCGCGTATTAAAATCAAATGTTTAACTTCAATGCAAGTGATGTAACACAAACACATCGCAGTATTTAAAAATTTATTCTCGGTTGGACTTCAGAACGTAATGTTGCAGATTAAACACTTGTGGTATTTTAAGTGAATTGCTAAGTTCTCAATAGAAAAATCATCCTAGATTCCAAAAATGTTTGCAGCGATAGTTGTGTCTGTCATCACACATATAAAAAACTTGTGCACTGACAGCACTATGATTATTTGTGCCACAAAAACTAAGTTGATTAAAGTGGTGAAATGATTTGATTGATGACGTTATTAATACCTCATAATCTAACTAACGCATTTTAGTAATGGTAAATTGCAATTGGAATTTACCAGCAGTTCTGCCAGAAATCAAACTGAGTAAATTAACATTTGTTGTCCACGTTTGTGTTATCTGTTTTATATATTATACAACACATAAATTATCTATGTATAATATTCAGCGTACGGTCATGATGTCATAGTTTACATAATGTGAACAAGTTATTATTTATTCAAGCAATCCCTGCAGATTAGTTCAAGGAACATTATTTTCATTCACATCAAGGTCATTCCTGTCATTTCCAAAACTAACAAAAAAAAACAAACAACAAGAACTTAATTTACGTAATTCAATCACGTTCTTATATGAATAGAAGAATTAATGATGACAGAACTGAATGAAATATACCTGAAGGCACATCCCAGGATTCCAGCTTTTGAGGCTCGTATATATAAAAGATGAAGAAGTGGAAAACGGCTCTATACATCATTGCAAAACTTCAAGATAGCAAGTTGAAAGTAATAGAACCTTGTAAACGAAAGTAAGGTATAAACCAGAATTTTCTCTTCATCTAATTCTAAAAGCAAGTTTGTCGTACAAAGATTTAACATTAGACGACAACTTGAAACAACACAAACTTCTTTCATGCGATCGCCGTACCATAAAATTGACTTTCTTTAATTGTTGTCCGATAACTTTGCGTTCGAACACAGTGTATATAACTCGATCTTATGCAGTGTATATAATAGAGATAATTGAAAAGCATGTTTAAAAATGTTTATCTACTTTAAAGTTTTACTCGTTTATTTATTTGCACGGCTCATGCTTGAATTAAACTATGCTTATATTTTTCGAAAAACCTTAGACAGCTTGGTGATTGAAAAATAACATAAAGCAATCAAGAAGAATTATAGATTTACGTTATATATTTTAGATTTCAAGTAGTCCAGTTACATTTATAGCTACGTGGAAATGGGTTGTTCTTCTGCTGTCTTTGTTTTACTCACTCTATGTGCTGGGAACAGTTTTGTGTAAGTAAAATTTCATTGTGTTTAATGCCTGAGTAGGAAAAAATATTTAACGATTTAATTTAGCTGATTTTCTCTCGTCTCTACTTCATAGCTACATGACTGCATGGTTTTGTTCATTTCATTTAATAAGTTACTCGCTTTCTTTATTGTGATGGTCATTGTATTCTCCTATTTATTATTGAAACCCTTAACTCGGCTGACAGGTTTTAGCAGCGTATTTTCCACTCTATTGTAAAGTTTATGCATGCTATTCATTCAAAATGGAAAAAACAGTATAGGGAATATTTAAATTTATAACAATTACTTTACGAATTTTTTTAGAAATTAGCTCAATTCATTACACCATGCAATTTGCTAAACATTAGATACCATTGGCCATTCAACTACACTGAGTTTTCATTAGCGCTGTAGAATATTCTATGACACAAAGCAAAAATCAGTAGCACAAGTTAACAATACATATAGCATTTATTTAAGCCGTATAACATTCCGAAATATTAAAGTAGCTCAAAAAGAAGCCGCCATTGTTTGGAATAACTTGGGCTCAAATGATAGATAAAGTAATTTTTACTTTCCCTACAAAGTCTGAAAACTTAAAAACAGATAGAAACCGAGATATTTTAAAAAGAAATAGCAAATTTGGCAATCATTTGTACATTCGAGCGAAACTGCAATCGAGAAGCAGTTTCAGTAAGTGACGTCGCTGCGCGGTTGATTAATAAATACAGGGGTACTTATTTACTTCACACGATTAATTGAACCGTGCGCTCTCGAGTTAGTATATACAGAGTCTGAGAAAATGGCAAGGTCGTCGTTAGTGAGTCATTACACTCAGGTTTTGAAAGTACCCTAGCAGACTTCAAGAAAGATATTAGTAGTCTTTGAAGCACCTTCTAATGAGTCAATATTTCGATTTTTGCTTTTAGAATTTGACCAATTACTTTCTGAAGTAGCTTTACAAATTTCAAAATGTGGTTTGAACATTTAGAACTCGCTTTTCACTTTAGCTAAAATTTGATATCATACTTAGATGCTTTGTAGCAATTGCTAAATCATGGATAGGTAAGAATGCTGTCACAAAAAACAATTAGAATGTGTTCATAAAAATGGAGAAATAGCAGCATTTGAGAATGTGAGAACGTTTCTATTCTAAGCTGCATCACAGATAAACGAAGGCAGTTGTAATATTTTGCCTAACTTACTAAAACACCATTGAACAAGCTACACGTATGCAACATGTCTTTGTTTCTTATGTACTGGACCTACTTTAGCATTTGCACTATATTGCTGTCTATATATCGATTTCAATCTGTTAATCATTCAAAATCCGTGGTGTAGCCAGCCAAAGGCACCACACCGAGTTAAAACTAAATAAAGTCTTTCAATTGCTTTACGTGTTAGCATGTTTTCTGTGAATTAATTATCAATTTTATACTATTGATTTTTAGTGCGGCGAAAGTTATTTCATGTTTCTTAAAATGTAATTCGCCATCATTAAAAGCGTCAAGTGCCAATTCAGTCTTCATAACCATGGCAATCAGGATATCCTTGTGTCAAAATGGCTCACTCCACTTGAAGGAATAAAAAGCGGTTGCTTAAATGTTACACACAGTGGTAAAAACATTCCATACGACGGAATACAGATCTCACGACGCTTTCCACCTTCCTCAACATCTTACATTAAAATTCCGCGGAAAGGAACTGTGTCAACATCATTTGATTTGTCAAAAAGCTTTAATCTTAATAAACTTGGAGATTACGTTGTATCAGTGAATATTTTCCCTTTGTATTACCGTACAAGACCTTTTAATGAAGAAAACACAGGAAGAATGTCAATTATGTCACCAGGAGTACATTTTACCCTTACTGAAGTTGCTTATCGACATACAGACGGAGACGTAAAAATAGATGAAGAAAACAAGTCAAATGTAACATGGAATTCGTTGATCTTGAATGAACCTTCTCAAAACAGACCAAAGCATCCACGTTTTCAAGGCCCGGATGTAACCGAAGAGATAAAACAGTTAATAAGTGATATTCATCTCGCTGTTTTCCATTACTTAGAAGCTTCTCTCCTAGAATCGGATAACCCAGAAGCAAAGAATCATCTCATTACGTGGTTTGGAAATGATATACAAGTTCAGCATGCTGTGTATGAAAACTACAAACAAATGATATTGCACTTAGAGCAAACTGTTATAGCATATTACATTTTTAATAAAACGGAGTGCAACGAAAGACCAAAAAAAACACTTGCTTATACATATAGATTCACAAATACTATATATTTCTGCCCCAAGCTATTCGAAGATTATCACAAAAACGTGATTTAGCCTATTGCGACTGATAAAGGTTTATACAGTATTTCTACTGTCATAATACGTGAATTGTCCCATGCCATCGTTGGCACATTTGGTTTCGTTTATGGAGAAACGGAGAGTAAAGAGCTAGCTAAAAAGAGTCCAGGCAAAGCTTTAGCTAACGGATTTAACTATCAGTGTTTTTCAGGAACCACATATCCATTCGACTATGGAATAGATGCAATGACTGTTTTTCCGGTTGATAAGATTTTGATTACCAAAGGTAATATTGTTGCTCAACTAACTGGAACTGTAGACGCATTTAAAATGGTCGAAGGCTATCCCAAATTAATGCGAAAAGTCTTTGGAACATTAACGGGAAAATTTTTAGAAGGTTTTGACAGTTTGTTCCACTGTGATAATGATGTGAAAAGATATGCCACAAAAGATTCCGAGTATGTTCGGTTTACAGGAATGTCCCCGGATAAAGGTTTTCCCAAATCAATTAAAGGAAACTTTGGTAACCTTCCCCAGGAATTTTTTGATGGGTTTGAATCGGCAGCCCGTCTTCCAAATAAAGTATTTTATGTCACTAAAGGAAGTAAATATGCGGCATATAGAGAAAACAGCTGTTCGGATGTGTATTATATCCACACAATATACGATAGATGGGGGAATATTCCAGCTTCGTTTGAGGAAGGTTTTGATGCAATGATGTCATATCAAAAGAAGACGTATGTGGTCAAAGGTCGTCAATATGTTCAATACAGCGATCCAATAGCAACAAAAGTTGATCCTGGTTATCCAAAAAATATAAGAGGTAACTTTGGTAAAGTGGCCGAAAGTTATTATCCGTTTGCTTGAAAAACTGAACTAAATACTTAAACTGCTTTCATTTACGGAAAACTGATTTGTATTTTTTATTTTTAAAGTAATAACTTAGGAATAAACTTAGTTTGATTATATAACTTAGTATGGAGATGAAGAAAAACAACTAAAGAAAAACATATGAAGAATAACAACTTTATGACGAATGTCCTCGTGGCAATTTATAGCCTTGTGCAAGAAAATCTTTTATATATATATTAAATTTTGATTTAGCAAGTTTGCATTCCTGACTAAAATTTTATTTGAAGCAAGAAATCAACGGTATGATGTTTTTCAATATTTTTAACATTTATTGGATGAGCATCATATAAAAAATCATTCAAACATCTTTCAATGTTGTTTTCTTCAGCAAATTTTGAGATGCAAAAGTTTTTTTTCTACATACTATTGGGTGAAAGTCTGCAGAAAGACGCGGGTTCACAAAACAATTTTTTTCTCTCCCACGAAGATTTGATCACCAAGATTGCGATTGTAGAAAATATCAAAACTATTATTCAAAACGCCATTTTTTTTTAAATTTTTACATATGTAACATTTTGGAAGCTTGCGTGTAATACTGATGCATTGTGAGCGCCGGTAGGGCGACCTGCCTAGTGGGCTCTGGGGATATGCTACCCCGGAATATTTTGAACTTTAGAAGCTTGAAAATGCGATTTCCTGGGTTTTGACATGACTTTTTCCCAAAACATCAGCCACAATTAGGCAGACTGACAGAAACGGAACTGTGATTAAACTTAGATCGTGTCCAGGTCCAAATCCATGAAAAACTTTCCATATGAGAAACTTTGATGAGAATACGATCATAATTGGCTGATGGCCAGTTGAATGTCATGATTAAGTGTTTTACAAATGATAAAAAACATTCATGTTTAAAAACACTATTGTAAATGCACCTTTGATAAACACGACAATATTTTTTACATGTTTATAAATGTAAATCGTCCAGTTTGGTATAGTCCTGAGAAGGACTGTTTTTGTTGTTGTTGACTGACGTTTCGACAACCTTAGTTGTAGTAAACTTCAGAGACAAGATGACTACCGCATTGGTTGTTCAAACGTCAGTCAACAACAACAAAACAGTCCTTCTCAGGACTATACCAACCTGGGTGATCTACATTTACAAACATGTAACGATAATCGAGTTCAAACCATTTACATTATTTTTTTAGTATAGACATGTTTCAACATCTTATTATTAGCTTCAACGATTAACACAAGTTTCTTTGAATATGGGAATTCAATTTCTTCCAACGAACTTTATTTTCTGTTTGCATTGCATGTTGGAATGAAATTCATGATTATGAAGTGGCAGACTCTCGAGCGTATAACGTACAATATTAACTTGTGTCTTGTGACGATCGTATATATGTCCATAAACATCATATTGAGGGTTTTTTAGACCTTCGTGCTTTCTGTTATACTATAAGAAGCAAGAGCTCTAATTTGGGGAAGGGGGAAGAGTGAATATTTCATACATTCAACTCTGTCCGACTGCATGACTTCTTTTGAAATTAAATCGCTTTCAACACAAATATGTTAGACAGAGCTGAAAAAATGAATAGTTACCCCTCTATGTATTTCCAGCTGAATATGAATGTTAGAAACTAATACTGAAAATATGTTTGAAACATGCCTTGTTAACTATTCCAGTAATATATTTGTATGTATTCAATATTTTCCATATTAATTTAATTTTTTTTGATGGTAAATTTTTAAATGTTACGATAAAGCAGTATAAATTTAAAGTTTACTGATACCAGACATTGCGTAAAATTTAAACTGTCTTGTTTCAAACAAAGACGTCGTGAATTGCCTCGAGTGCCTCACTGCCTATGGAGGGTATGATGGTCAGAAGCTTACTATTGACATCTCCACGTAGAATGGGGTGGTAGGAGCCAAACTCTCCCACCAAAACGTCAACATGCGGCGCTTCATAGTGCCCTTTTTGTCCTAGGGTGTCAGGAGGCATGGGCCAAAACTGAACTTTTTGTCTTCGAAATTTATTTTTTTGTTTGCAAGGGTTCTTCCCATATAACAAACTGTAACATACAATAACATTCATGGCAAAATATCTCTCGAAATGACTAATTGAGTCAAAACTGCAAAAGTTGGACTGGAATATATAAAGAGAGCTTTGGGAAATTTTGTTATAAAGTTGTTAGCATAAACGTAAATGATATTTGTGTTTTTCCGATGTGCTATCTGATTTTTTTGACGCGCTTATCGAGGATTTAGACGTTGAAGAACCCAGATTTTCAATATAGATGAGATATGAAACCCGAAGACAAGTGAAGACAAATGAACATAATAATTCAATCAATTCATAAATACAACATAGTCCTTAGTCATTTACAGCGACAAAATAAATTAACATAATTAATTTGTGCATTAGTTTTCTTTTTTCTTCGCAACCCACACCTTGTCTTTCCAATTAAGAAATGTAAACATTGCATGTGGTGTTTTGAATGCATGCTGTTTAGATAAGGCACGAAAAAAATGCAAGGATAGAAATATATTTGCAGGCAGATCCATTTTGAGGGTAAGGAGAGAACTCGGCATAGAACGCAGATAATGAAATATAATGCAAAAAAGGTGTTTATAATGCTACATAGGACAGTCTAATTGACACAGCTGTGAATGTATCATATGCTAAGAACGAAGAACCAATAAACGACGGTTTGCATATGACGTCACACCCGTGTATCAGGTGAACAGACAAAGGTTGAATATAATTCACTTTTTGTGATGGGTGCACTCGAAAAAATTAGCAGAGCAGGACTAATGAAGCAGGCTGGCCACGTTATAGGCTTTTTTTACTAGTGCTGGGAATATATTTATATGTGGTATCTTCAATATCAATAAAATCTTCACAAGTACGCTTAATGTATTCCAAAGCCACCATCAGAGAATATACATAATATATAAATCCTAACACTGTTTTAATATGCAGATGAAAAACATGTGACTTAGACGAGATTTGAACTCGCACCTTCGGGATGCTAGTCCGCCGCTCTTCCTGTTGAGCTACCAAGCGCACAGGGATTAGAGACGAGTCAAATCTCTTTGAAACAGCGTATGGACTAGAGATTCTCACCCCTATAACAGTTTACTGGATGGCACCGTGTTTCGACTTTACTCAAAAGCCATCATTAGGATCAATACGCTTAATGTATGGTCAGCGGAAAATGTTTGAAGACAGCTTTTGCTTTTTGCGAAGACACGTGCAGAGTCGAAGTGAAATATTTTATTGATTTTGATCACTTTCATTTGAAAACTTTTAAATGTGAAGAATATAAATGTTGCGACCTAGTAAGTTTGTCATTGTAAAGGTATTGTCGACTCCACGCGCTCTGTTTTTGCGTTAAAATTTTGATATCAACATACCGACTTTGTTGCCAAATGTTTCAAAAATTACTTCAACAGTTCAACGTGCAGCCTTTCATATTCCAGAAAAACAAAGCATGACAATGACTACGAAGAAGAAGAAGAAGATTGAAAAGAAGGTATACATTTCAGTGACTATCTTTTATGTCAATTTATTTTTACAATATAAGAACTGTGACTGTTCTTGTTTGCTGTTCAAAAAACAACAATCACTATTTTATTATTTGACTGAAAAATCTGCCGTGTCTCTACAAAGACTAGATTGTAGCTTGAGCATTGTCTCAAGATAATCATCGATATTATTTGAAAATTAATTTGTGATGAAAAAATTCCTATATTTTTCTTGGAGTTAATCTATTATCTGTTGTGAAAGATGATTATGTATATCTTGGCAATTTTCCTAATAATTCCCGCTTGCAACACAACGAATGACTTGTGTTAGCGTTCACAAATTGTCTTCATGAAAATAAACGATAACGGTATGTTAATAACATAAAAGAAAACAAACACTTTAAGCAAAATATTCATTCTATTTTCTATGATAAAATATCTAAAAATTGCCTATATCACATTTCTAATTCTAAATGTATATATTTGCAGTAGCTCAGTGTATAATATTTTACATTGTATAGCAAGTATCACTGTTTAAATCAGGAAAACAAATGTTATATATGTTTAAGTGCTGTAAGTTTGATCTTCTTGAAAAAAAATACATCACAATAAGTAAAAAAACTAATTTAAAATTGACTAACTGCTGTATATTTTATTTATTTATCATTACAAAGGCTATACTCTACCAGAAAAAGATGTAATTTCAAGTCTTGTCGTCTACAGTCGCTTCGAATGCTCTATAAAGTGTCTTCAACAAAAGCAGTGTGTTGGCTTTAGCTATCTAAACGATGCAAAAGAGCACGAGATAAACTGCCAAACTAGCAGGATGGCAATAGACATTAATGAAGGAGAATTGTCTTTAAAAAGAAAATGGACTTTTTATCAAATTCCCAAGACGGTGGGAATTCAGTTAATATCACTATATTATCGATATTGTTGCAGTGAATAGAATGTAGTACATGCCATCAAGTATCCAGCAAACAGACGTTTGTAAGACAAGGCATAACTATCCAACCATTCAAAATGCAGATGGTTTTCTCCCACTTTTAATTTTACTAATCACATTTTTCAGCGAGCACTTGTTTTTTCTAATTAATTTTCTACTGCTATTGATAACTAAATATGTTTCAACTAAATACCTTATAATGATGTTTTAAGTCGACTTTTTTTTACAGGCCTACGGAATTCTTGGTGAGGAGAAGAAAGGTTTAAGTTTTTTTTATTCTTCTAATATTATTTTGGAAGTAATTGAAACTAAATTTCAATGAAAAACAAAATGTCGACATAAAAACAGCGTCCCCACTTCAAATGTAATTCACAGTACTCAATAATATCCATATCTTACATGCAATGCTTGTGCTCTGTAGGTTTCCAGCATGTGAAACATGAAACAAGCAATCTTTAACAAATAATAATAATACCTAGTAATGATTTCATTCCCTTAAGAATACTTTTTCACAAAATTCAATCGTTTATCCTATCATAACATAAGCTTGAGAAACTGAATTTTTAACATTTTCAAATTAAAATAGCCAAAGACTGCATTGAGGTGCAAAATAATGGCAAGAACGAAAGTGGAGTTTATCAAATTGATCCTGATGGTCAAAGATGTTTTAATGTCTATTGTGACATGACTTCATATGGTGGTGGCTGGACTGTAATTCAAAGA